GGTGGTCGAGCCTCCCCTACTCTCTCTCTCTCTCTCTCTCTCTCTCTCTCTCTCTCTCTCGTGCTCTCACTCTACTTTTTTCCCTCCTTGACTATATCACAACTATTCTAACCATCACTGACCCCCCACACAGCGCTGGAGGTGTCATGATCCTGGGCGGAGACGGCAAGATCGAGATCGACAACACGTTCGAGGCGCGGCTTTCCATCCTCAGCACCAGCGCACTGCCAGCCATGAGGCAGGCCCTGTTCGGCTCGAACCCGAACCGCAAGTTCTTCGACTAAGCGAGGCGAAGGATTGGCTTGGACACTCTCGACAAAACAAAAAAAAGGCCAACTACTATTAGCATGTGACTGTGGTGGTCCGACCAGCTCCGCAAACGTCCATTGCATGGGCGCAGCAGCTTGGGCATGTGTGGGTATCTCTCTTATTTTCCTTTTACAAGTCTGTGTATTATGCACTTTGCACACATTTATCTTTCCTGCATATCGACGTCATGTGAAGCCCATTTAAAGGAGCCGGATGGTACAACAGCGTCTTTCGTGACTCCTCTTGCCCCTCGCCTGATTTCAACTTAGGAAGTCCGCACATAGATGGTGCTGTCGTCCCGCTTGCTGGCCGCGGCCATGATCTTGGCCTGGAACATATTCCTGATGTCCTGATGCTTGAGGCCCGCCCCCGCGTCGTCGTCGCGCAGCAAGGCCCCGTCGTAGATGCTCGTCTTGGGTGGCGGCCGCGTCCGCACCGTGTACTTGATGCGGTCCCGGATCCAGGCCGCCAGCGTCTTGGAGTCCAGCCTCGAGGACTGGCCCGCGCCCGTGGCGTAGATCTTGCGCCAGATGAGCTCGACCTGGTGGCACAGCCGGTCCAGCCGCGCGTCCAGGTCCCCGACGGCGCGGTCGAGGCCGTCGGCGAGCGTGACGTCCAGGAGCCGCAGCATGCCCGCCAGCTCCCTGTAGTCGGTCTCGTGGTTGACCAGGAAGACGCCGGACCCCAGGCGGTCGACGAGGGCCTGGAGCCCGATGGCCCGGTCCGGCCCCCGCCTCGCGTGCTCCGGGTCGTCGAAGAAGCACACGGCTGCCAGCCTCCTCTTCAGGTCCAGGAGCCATCGCTGGCCCGTGTCTGGCCCGATAGACCCGATGGCCTGCCACCGCAGATGCGATGGTTTGACGTTGGAGTGGAAGCACTTGGCCACGTCGTAACACTGTTGAAGGGGATGTTAATATGGCGAAAAAATTCGCAACGGATGACGGTGATGCCAGCAGGGGGGTACTTACGAAACTATTCCAGTCGCCCTCTGTGACGGACTCAACAAGTGCCTCAAGTGCGGCCCGATAGCCCACCACAACCGTAACGTTCTCGACAACAACCGTGTCAAGGCCAAGCTGAAGAAGCAGCTGGGTCGCAGCCGTAACGGTGGACAATGGGAGCGGGTGGACTTTGCCGCTACATCCCGCGCGACAGAGGGCGGCGATCAGCTCCAAGACGGATACGAGGTTCGACCAGTCCCTGCCGGCGTAGTAATCCGCAACCTCTTCTTCCAAGGGCAGTTCGGCTGCGATGCCGTCTCCCAGGCCCTGCCTCTTGCACCCTAGCGACTGAAAGAGTTCAAAAAGGAGCGCCTGGTCGACGCGATCGCCTATGGCGTCATCGCCAAGCTCGGACGAGGCCCCGATGGCGGCCGAGGCCGTCAGGATGTACTGCTCCCGGAGCCTCCTGTCCTGCTCCAGCGGCACCTGCCTGAGGATCCAGAGGAAGACCTCGTCGGGGAGCGGCTGCTGCTGCTGCTGGGGCTGCAGCTGCGCGCCCCGCCTCACCAGCTGCTCGGGGAGGCCCGCCAGGAAGTGCTGGTCTCTGGTGCCGACGGCCTTGAGCAGGCGCCAGCGGCCGGTCGCGCAGTGCTTGGGGAACAGCGGGCGTGTCTGCTTGGCGCCGACGACAGGGTCCGAGTCCCGCCCGAAAAAGTAGAAACACCTGCGGCCCACGTCGGTCGCCTCGGTCCGCCTGATGGCCTGTTTCAACTTGGCCTTCCCCTTCGCTTTCCCAGTGGCGGCCCCGTTACCGTTGCCGCCGCCCGCCTCGTCGTCGTCGTTGTCTGGGATATACTCTTCCAGATTCCGAACCAGGGCCTCCTCGCTGTCGTCGTCATGTGCGTTGTTGGCGCGGTTGGACGGCGAAGAGAACGGCGACGACCCGTCGCCGCGGCGGCGGCCGGTCCCGCCCACAACCACGGTGCCACCGACCCTGCCGCGGTCGGAGAGCAGGGCCTCGACCCTCTGGCCGCTGGCCTCGGCGTCCAGGTCGGCCTGGTTCAGGCGCAGCAGCGCCGACATGTCGTATTTGTGCGCCTGCTGAAGCCGCTTGGCGCGGATGGTCAGCGGCGTGCTCGCGACCGCCGTGCGCTTGGCCGCCCTGGGCGTCGCGGGGCCATCCTTGTCCTTGTCCTTGCTGCGCCCGTCGCCGCCGCCGCCGCCGCTGCCGCGCCCTCCCGCCGCGACGGCAGCCCGTTCGGGGTTAGCGCGCCGCCATATCGCGTCGACGTCCTCGAGCGAGTCGTCCGACGAGCCCTCGTCGTCCGAGGCCTGAATGACGGCGTCGCGCGGTCTCGGCGCCTGCTCTCGCGGGCGGCTAGGCGGCGGGCTCGGCGTGGAGGATGCGTCTTGGCCGGCGCGGGAGCTGAGGGCAGGTGGGGTTGGGTCCAATGGCGGGGGGGATAGTGCCGAGGACTCGTAGCTGGGCTGCACTGGGAGCGACGGCGACGGTGCGGCGACGGGCTTCCGCGGCGGGGCGGTCCTGAAGAAGGTCCTTATGTCCCTGGCTTTGCCTGCCATTATTCACCCGCCCTCTGATGAGTATAAGATGAGATACAGGCGAGTTGCTAGTCGGTCCCGGCGCCGTGGCGCTCCTCAGGTTCAGTTCTTGGCGTGGACAGCTGTTGGTGCGTGCGACAAAGTCGCTTCGGGCGCTGTCGAGGAGCCGGGAATTTGGATTCCCCGCAGCAGCAAAGATTGAATTAGGCTAGGCCGACTCTCGGCCCACCATAACGCCTCATTGCACAGGCAGCACTCCCTGCTTTGCGGTAGCGTTTTCGACGAACGGGTTGAGCTGAAGTGCTTGCATCTTTTGGCGTCATAGTCTAACGCGTGAACCAACACTTTACTGCAAAGGACATTCCCCGCGTAGTGCATGAGCCCCATAATAGTGGGTCTGTTGCCCCACTTTCTTTGGGACTCGTCCAGGCCGCACCAGTTTTGAGAAGTAAAAGACTATCTGTCTCTACAAGGGTAGTGGGTGTCAATGTATAAATCTACGGATAGAAGCGCTGACCAGGCTTTCAGAGTACAGTGGTCGACGCGGTTACTACTCATTAGGAGAAATGCCAGATCTTTGTCCTTCCTTTGCTACAATTGATTTGGTTTATGGGCACACGAAACTATGAAAATGGTGGTGTTGCTCGCTGGCCTCTCCTGTCTTTCCAATCCCTAAGTCAACAAATGCTACCAGTCGTCCAACAATACCATGAGGGACATGACACGCCTTGCCGTGACATTCGGCGAGCCACAGAGAATATGATGAGAAGGAGCATTATAAAGCCCAAACAGAAATGACGGCCGGATTTGACCGCAGAAAGACTCGGAACGGATATAGCATATCACCCTCCCTCCTAGTATCCAGCAATATTGCCGCGCGTGGCAGGTTAGGGTTGCTGGTCACTCCTCCAACAAGTCGTGCCATTCTGGGACCTCCTTGATGAGGCCCAACATGTACTTCTCCAGCTTGTTCGCACACTTGTGGTAGACGGTAGTCGAGTCGTTGTACTGTCGACAGTTGTCGATGACCAGCTTGATGTCTGCGACAAGCTCCTTCGGGGTTGGGTAGACCTCGTTCTGGTCCAGTCTCTCCTCGATGGTCGACAGGTCCATTGGCTGCGCAATCACGTTATAATAGTCGGGAACCTCGTCCTTGTTGACCGGCTTGAGGAAAGGCCATGCCTGCTTGTGGTTCTGAATCTCGGCCAGGAAACGTCGCATGTCGTTGAAGTGGGGTCCGCGGCGAGGTTGACGTGATAGTTCGTCCATGGACGGAGACCAGCCGGTGGCCCGGATGGCCGGGATAGACAGGGGATCTATCGGGCTGACGGTGCCGTTGAGTGTCCACAGTTTAGGGGGCTGATGAACGATGTGGCTCCTGCTCATAGGGCGAATCTTGGCCAGCACCGTCTCCTTCTGTTTGTGAAGCATCCGGCCGACCTCGAGGTACCGGATCCGGGGGAGCATGGAGCATTGCATAAGGGTGCCCCCTTCGTAGTCCTTGATATAGCCCTGCCAGATAGACTTGTCCAAGGTGATGTCCTTGGTGAAGCCTTGTTTTTGGAAGTATCCCGTAGCGTAGTTGTCTGCATACGTTAAAAAGTGCATAATGGGTGAGGTGGCTCGAACGTAATCTTTCAAGTGAGCCATCATGTACGCTCCATATCCCTTCACTTGCTGATCGGACGAGACGGCGCAAAAGACGATTTCGGCAAATTTGCGGGCACGGAACGGGCGAATGGCTATCCCGCCAATAACTTCCAGCGGCATTTTGACGATGGCGAGAGACAGGTGGGTGCGGTCGTAAACGAGCCGTGCGATATAATCCTTTGGCATTTTTGGGAGCTGTTTCTGGAACAGGCACATGAGCCCTGTCAGAATAATCATGCTCTCTGGGGCGCCGTCGTTGTTTACAGCTCGGAATTCGATCTCGCCATTGCGTTCCTCGAGGGCTGCAGGCTACGGGAATAGTCAGCTCGGAGTAATGCATGGGTATTCATCTTTTGTGAATCTGTAGATATTCGTTCCTATCCCCAGCTGCGGCACGATATGAAGCAGGTGGTGCACCTACCTTTTCCGGGAAAGGGACCCTTTCTGTGGGAGCCGGGGCTGGTGGTGGACCGGCGGGTTCTGTCGATCCCTCGTGGGCACTAGGCTTGAGTCTCTTGGGGACAGGGGTCGCATCGGGTTCTTGGAGCGCCTTGCGCTTTTCGACGAGCAGATCCTGCCCATCGTCGGTCTGGTCCGCCATATCTGCGTCCGCCGAGGGCATTTCGGCTGGGGTCGGGCTTCTCCGGCGGCAGCCTCTCGTGACTCTTAGGTCAGTCACCCTTGGATCGTATTGCGCGTGCATTGATGCAGGGTCCCGGGCTCGATTCCAGTGAGGCTGGCGATGGGTGGATCCGTGTGGGGCAACTGAGGGACCCTGCAGCGGGCGACGCCAAGAGTCAGACGTCGCGGCTAAATTTGGGCCTTCAGTTGTTTGAAACCAAGCACACGTGACGGACGACGAACGCTTCGGTAAGATGGTTTGTCTATTTTAGGCCGATCTGTATTTTGGGATAGTCGACCTACTTGGGGTTTGATTTATCACTCGCCGGAATTTTTGGACATTCGGCGACTTGGAAGCAAAGAGCCAGTATTTTGCGGTGCACTGACATGTTGGCATCATATTAGACACGCCGGGCCATCGGAAGGACAAGTGTGCGGGTCAAGCGTCATGGGCGGCACAGCCAGGCCCTAACCTTCAAGCTCGGCATCTGCCAAAGGAGTATTTGGATGAACATTACTAGGTGGATGCTTACGTCGAAATGCCTTGCGGGGATGCTCTTTCGCCGGATGACGACGCCATGAATCCTACCCCATCTCATTGGTTCACCATCAAGGATGTATTACCGTTGACACTTGCGCTTATTTTGCTGGCTACTTGCTACCATTCAAGAGCCGCTCAAAAGCTCAGTGGTCGAATCCATCAGAGAATCCCATCCAGCCATGGTGAATATGGTTATGGACCTGCCCGCAGTGTTGGTTCTAAAGTCATTGTAAATACGCCAGCTCGGGTCGCGATGTACAGCCCGGATCTCTGCCAAACTGGAGAGAAGTAGTTGAGTGGGTAGCGCGTGTTTCACTCGGCGTGAAAGCGAACTTGTTTCGTTTCTCGTCCAGACGAACTTCGACGTCCCTGGCTCGACCAGACGCTACATTCTACGAAGTTGCATGTGTCTCAAGGACGCATGCCCAGCCGACGGGAAGCGAAAATCAAGTCCATCACCCAGTGGCCAATCAGCGGTCCTGCAGCAAGGCACCGCAAAATATGCAGAGGGACTCTCCACAGGCACAAGGCGAGACAAGATGTAAGCTGACATGAGCTCAGCTCGTGCATCTCGGGCGACTATGCCGGCGCTAGGCTTTTCGAGCCCGACAGGAGGTGGCCAGTTTCACGGATTGGCACAGATCCATCCTGCAGCCTGGCTCTCTGTCGGCTGGCCGACATGGCAACCAAACAACGCGGGTTGTTATTACCTAGGCATATACTAGCCTAATAAGAAATATATACTGCTCTAAGCTTGTCGTCGGATAGGGCTAGCAAGGCAAAAGCAGCCATCCTGTCTTGTTGGACGAGCAACGCTACCAACTGACTGGGAGAAGAAAGGTTCAGTTCCATGTCCTTGTCTGTCTAAACAGGGAAACGGGGTCATCTAAAAGAAAGTTCGGGGAATGGAAAGCGGGATAAAAACGGGGCCCGCATGATTGTTTCATGCAGCTCCCGTCCAGGTGCACAAAGATCGAAAAGGAGTCGGATGGTTGCCCCGGATTGCGTGGCTGCCAGGCCTTTGGAGAGGACGATTTACGACTGGGATTGGGCAGACAGGATGGATGCGCGGGTTGCCGAGGGGCTGTCAGAAACCTTGGCCATAAATAGGCGCTGCTGGCCTTGCCCTGCCTATAGAAGCTTACTGTGCGGACGTTGATGCTGTTTTGCTCACCGTAGCCTCGCCCCACCTAAGACGCCCAATTATGGCTCAAATAGCCTGTGCTATTATAACTTGATCGACTTGGCGCGCCCCAGCCACGTTTACCAGCAACCAGGCACGCCAGGAGCGTCCCAAGAAGCCCGAGCGATTGAAACAAAGGGCCTGTCGGAATCCAGAACGCGGCCAAAACAAAAGCTTTCAGCGTCTACGATACGCTTCGCTAGGCGGTCTGGGGAAGGAACGGTCAAGGAATTCGATTGCGAATAGAAACCAGGAGGCGGGAGGGAGACGCTTCAGGGGCCAGCCTCCCGTTCCAGGTAAGCGGACCTTGGGTTGCGGGACTAATTTCGCAGAGACCATAGCCGGCTCGGCGACAGTATTTAGGGGCAGATGGTCGATACACAGTGCACTCTAATCTCCTAGTCTCATCCCATTGCATCCTGTCGTAGAACCTTGCAGCAGCTCCCTCAAGCTTTACTTGTCAAATCCAGACAGCAGATCTAGCTGGCGAAATAATGGCCAAGGGAACACAAAGATAAGATGTATTGATTAGTGGAGCTTTGGCACATCCGCCTTGGGGCTTGGGGTCAAGCATCGAGACGAAATTATTCTAAGTATCCTGGACTGCCAACGGGACGGGAGGCGGTGAATGCCGGCCATCCAGGCCCATCATATTCGCTTCGCGAAACCCAATTTCACTCTGGCCCGCTTCGGGGTCTCGGATAATTGAACCATGGACTTGACAGGGAAAAAGAGGGGAAGGTGGGAGGGGACACGTTGGCCCTGTCGTGGTGGCCAGTGGTGGCCTGGACTGGCACCCCTGCCGACGGTATGCGGCCCAGGCCAGCCGCGTGCTATAATTGCTTGTTGGTTGTGGCTTTTTGAGGCTTTGCAGGGTCAAGACGAGTAAGTTCAGATGCAATGACTGTATGTTTGTGCGCCACGACTCGAAGCCGCCCGCATTCCGCAGCAGGGCTGGCTGGTCACCGTTTCTGTCGAGAGGCTGGAAGTGTAAGTGGGAAGTGGTTGAAGTGCTGGGTCAACCAAAGACTTGTCGACAGCCACACAGTGTCCAGACTGGGAGCGGCAGGAGGACGATCTGAATAATGTCGATCGTCTCAAGTCGCCAGAGTCGGCGAGGCGGAGGCTCCACATGTGCTGTGGCCGGGAAGACGTTGCAACCACACGCGCATGTCTCTCGGCGCGCGCCTCAATTGCTCACCTTCAGAGTCGGCCGTGATGCCACCGTTGCAGGATCAAACTCTGGGGCTCGGTGTGAAACATCAGCCCTCCACGCACACGCACTCTCGTCGTGACCGACAGGGAATCCCAAAAGTCTGGTCCAGTGGACGACGGGCCTGTGAATAATCGAGATCTGCTCGACGACGTAGGGCACGCAAACAGAATTCCCACGCAGCCCCATACCGTCCCGGGATCAATCCGTTAGGCATGTCATCGAAGCCATTAGGAGTGCCCAATTATCGTGGCCTTCCCAGTTTTGCCCCCGCCTAGTAGGGAATGATAGGCCAGAGATCCCGGCCCGGGAGCCTAACAGGACAGAACACGCCAGAGGGCCAAGTCACGGCAACGGAAAAAAAGTCCCTCGTGCTGGCGGATTTATAATAGCGAAAATCCTAAACTCCAATGGGCGCTGACTGAGAACGGAACGGGTCCCAGCCAGTCCCCACGCGTATATCCGGGCCCATGCACGGCTTGTCGGTTGCCCCCGACACCGAAAAAAGCACGCTGTTTGTCCCGCAGTGCGCCAGAGATCTCGCGCTCGGCTCTGACTGATCGCACGGGTGGAGGACCATCATCGGGGTGGGAGGTGGCTCATGCTGTGTCGTATGTGCATCATCCCTACCAAGGTACCCCTAGGCAGTACATACGAAGTGGCAGGCAGACCGCCACAAACAGATGGTCGAGATGCGTGAATGCACTGCACTACTTCATGGTCATGTGCATACAAGACAGTACGCAACACCAGGAGCCCTCGCCGAGACTACAAATATCCATCGATAGTGCGTGGTGTAGCCTCTGGCAGGCCCCGGTCTGGAGTGAGCGTGAGGGGATACGTGCGAGCGCATGGTGGCAGCACGGCTGGAAACGTCGAGTAAGCAGAGGCTATGGCGGCCTGTTTCTGGCGGTGCGATGTTGTTCCGATTACTAGTACTGCGATGACGGACGGCGCAGGCTCTCCAGGCCACCCCATCCCTCGCTGCCCTGCACGTCCCACACCCAAGGGGCAACTGCTGCGCATGTCGTTAGCAGACCCAAGCCTCTCTCGATCCGCCCACGTCCAACGCTCCGCGACTGGCTGCTTCGCATGTCGCATAGGCATGGACGACCAGCTGCCAGCTGTGGAGTAGAGGTCCCTGTCTTGCTTCTGTCGTTTTAATACAGTCCAGCGCCCGTCCCGACCCTGCCCAAAGGCGGGCGACCCGCACCACGATTACCAACAATTCTGTCTCTGGAGCCAGCCCGCGAGGACACACGACCCGCAATTCCAGTCCACCACGCACCTCGGGCCCCCGTTTTTGTTCGCGACTGGGATCCCTGCTTCTTTTAGGCGGCCTTTCCTTTTCCTATCCTCGCTCGCCCTCCTTTTTTCTTCGCCCGGAGACCCGAGCCATCCGACCTCTCACCCCCAGGCCAGCCAGCCTTCTAGCCAGCCCAGGCCACACGTGAATTGAGAAGCGAGGGAACACGCCCAAAAAAACAGACCAGAAGTAAAATCCAATCTTTTGGCCTCCTCTCCACCGTTGGCCGAGGGTGTCAACAGAGACTTGCGACATCGAGCGGGCGTCATTTCCAGCCTTGAGGCGTTGTTTTGCTGCATTTCTAGATTTCGCTGGCAATTGCCAACCGCCTATAGACGACGCCCCCTTTTCGACGAACAACTTCTTGAGCGCTTCACGACGAGTCGACGATCGAGACTCGAATCTCCAATTCGCGAGCCGCCGATCATCGAGTGCCATTTTATCCTGTTGACGACCCTACCGGGCCAACAGGCGTTAATATCCTGCTCGCATTGGCGACGAACCCGAGAGCGGCGAGGCCACAACGGCCCGGACTGGCGCACACTGGGAGTCGATCGGGCAGCCGCCCGTAACCCATCGGGACAATGGCGCCCCCAACCCCATCCCAGAGCTCGACCATAAAGCAGATCAGCAAGAGGTCAAGATGGGCGACCCGGAAGATGACCATCAAGAGCAGTGGTGTCAAGCGGCTATCGCTGATCGGCAGGATACAACGCGCCGGCTCCTCGGCTGAGAAGAAGAGAGCGTCCGCCGCCACTGGCGGAATCGGGAGTATCGGTTCGATACCAGAACAACAGGAGGAGGAGGAGGAGGAGGAGGATGACGCCGGCGACGGACCCGGACCACGGACGCTCTTCTTCAACCTGCCACTACCGCCAGAAATGAAGGACGAAAACGACGAGCCAATCGCAGAGTACACGCGAAACAAGATCCGGACAGCCAAATACACGCCCTTGTCCTTTATACCCAAGAACCTCTTTCTTCAGTTCCACAACATCGCCAACATCTATTTCCTTTTCCTCGTCGTATTAGCCGTGAGTTCTCTATGCCCAACCCCACGCCCCGTTTCCTGCCGTCGCGGCTTCCATGCGCTCAATCGCGAGGCCCGGACGTGATTTGAGTCCGACCAGTTTACCAACCACAACCATGTGGCAGTTTTTTCCCATTTTCGGAAGCGCCAACCCCGGCCTTGGTGCCGTTCCTATAATATTTATCGTCGTTGTCACAGCCATCAAAGATGCGATCGAGGACTCTAGGAGAACAATGTCCGATAACGAGCTCAACGACTCCACCATCCACCGCCTGTGCGGGTGGAACAACGTCAACGTCAAGGAGGATGACGTCTCGGCCTGGCGCAAGTTCAAGAAGGCAAACACCAAGGTCTTTGGCGGGCTGTGGCACGTCTTCCAGGGCCTGGTCAGCAAGGAGGCCAGAGAAAGGAACGCAAAGAGGAAGGCAGATCAGGCTGCTCTGACCGAGAATGCGAGGATGTCGACCGAGACGCGCCGCCCGAGACCACAGTCGATGCTGTCGGCTCACAACCGCGCGTCGTTTGTTTCCGCCCGAGAGGATATTCAGATGACCCCTGTGCCGTCACCGCTGCCTCGTGCCGAGAGCAACGTGCATCCGCTCGACAGGCCTCACGAGGAGGGCGAGGTCGATGGCAGGCCCTCGGGATTCTCGTTTCGGGGAAACTCGTCCGAGATGATGAACATCAAGACCGATTTGATCAACCACGCCATCCCCGCAGAAGGCAAGGCCCGATTCCGTCGCGACAAGTGGAAGAATCTGCAGGTTGGCGACTTTGTGCGCATCTACAACAACGACGAGCTCCCCGCCGACGTTGTCATCCTCTCCACGTCCGATCCCGAAGCCGCGTGCTACATCGAAACCAAGAACCTGGACGGCGAGACCAACCTCAAGTTCCGCACTGCCCTGCGTTGCGGCCAGACGATCAAGAACTCTAGGGACTGCGAAAGAGCACAGTTTGTGATCGAGAGCGAAGCGCCGCAGCCGAACCTGTACAAGTACAACGGCGCCATCAAGTGGAAGCAAGCCATCGAGGGCGACCCGTCTGGGTCGTGGCGCGAAATGTCCGAGCCCATCACCATCGACAATACGCTCCTCCGTGGCTGCAATCTGCGGAACACTGACTGGGTCCTCGGAGTCGTCATCTTCACCGGCCACGACACCAAGATCATGATGAATGCAGGAATCACTCCGACGAAGAGGCCGCGTATCGCCCGCGAGCTTAACTATCACATCATCTGCAACTTCCTCCTCGTCCTGATCATTTGTCTTGTCTCTGCCATCGCTAATGGGTTTGCCTTTGGCCGCACGAATTCGTCCATCACCTACTTCGAGTACGGCTCCATAGGTGGAACGCCGGCCATGACGGGCTTCATCACCTTTTGGGCTGCCGTCATCCTCTTCCAGAACTTGGTCCCCATTTCGCTTTACATCTCGCTCGAAATCGTGAGACTTCTGCAGGCGTTCTTCATCTACAGCGACGTTGGCATGTACTACGAGGCTATTGACCAGCCTTGCATTCCCAAGTCATGGAATATCTCCGATGACCTCGGGCAGATCGAGTACATCTTCTCGGACAAGACCGGAACACTGACGCAGAACCTCATGGAGTTCAAGAAGGCAACCATCAACGGGCAACCTTATGGCGAGGCCTATACCGAGGCACTCGCTGGGTTGCATCGCAGGATGGGCATCGATGTGGTTAAGGAGGCGGCCGAGGCGCGAATCCAGATCCAGGCCGACAAGGTCAAGGCGCTCAGCCTGCTGCGCGAAATTCACGACAACCCCTATCTCCACGAGGAAGACCTGCAGTTCATCGCGCCCGACTTTGTGGAGGATCTTACCGGTGGCAGTGGCCAAGAGCAGCAAGCGGCCTGCGAGCGCTTCATGCTGGCCCTCGCTCTGTGCCACACCGTGATCCCCGAGAGGCAGCCTGGCGAGAAAGCCAAGATGATGTACAAGGCGCAGTCTCCCGACGAGGCGGCGCTGGTGGCGACGGCACGCGACATGGGCTTTACTGTCCTCTCATGCAACTCTGACGGCATCCGCTTGAACGTAATGGGCGAGGAGAAGTACTACCCCATCCTGAACACCATCGAGTTCAACTCTTCGCGCAAGCGCATGAGCGCCATTATCCGGATGCAGGACGGAAGCATCATGCTCTTTTGCAAGGGCGCCGACAGCATCATCTACTCGCGACTGAAGAAGGGAGAGCAGCAGGAGCTTCGTAAGACGACGGCCGAGCACCTAGAGATGTTTGCCCGCGAAGGCCTGCGCACGCTTTGCATTGCCGAGAGGGCGCTGTCGGAGAACGAGTACACGGCATGGCGCGCCGAACACGACAAGGCCGCGACAGCTCTTGAGGATCGCGAGGACAAGATGGAAGCGGTTGCCGACACGATCGAACAGGAGCTGAGCCTTATTGGCGGCACTGCCATCGAGGACCGCCTTCAAGATGGCGTCCCGGACACCATTGCTGTCCTGGCCGAGGCTGGCATCAAGCTCTGGGTGCTTACTGGCGACAAGGTCGAAACGGCCATCAACATTGGTTTCTCGTGCAATCTGCTGAACAACGACATGGAGCTGCTCAACCTCAAGGTTGATGAGGACGAGACGGGCGCCACCCCGCCAGAACAGTTCATGGAGTCCCTCAACCGTGATTTGGACAGGCATTTGAGCGCCTTCGGGCTCACGGGCAGCGATGAAGATCTGGCCGCTGCTATTCTGAGCCACGAGGCACCGCCACCGACTCATGCCGTTATCGTCGACGGATTCACGCTCAGGTACCTGCTCGAGGACACACTTAAGCAAAAGTTCCTCCTGCTGTGCAAGCAGTGCAAATCGGTGCTCTGCTGCCGTGTCAGCCCGGCGCAGAAGGCGGCCGTGTGTGCTCTTGTCAAGAACGGACTCGATGTCATGACGCTGTCCATCGGAGACGGTGCCAACGACGTGGCCATGATCCAGGAGGCCGATGTCGGTGTTGGCATTGCTGGTGTCGAGGGCCGACAGGCTGTCATGTCGTCGGACTACGCCATCGCGCAGTTCAGCTACCTGCAGCGCCTCGTTCTTGTCCATGGCCGCTGGTCGTACCGCAGGGTCGCCGAGTGCATCCACAACTTCTTCTACAAGAGCATGGTCTCGACAACTCCCATCTTCTGGTTCCAAGTCTTTTGCGACTTTGACCAGACGTACCTCTTCGACTACACCTACATTCTCGCCTTCAACCTCTTCTTCACCTCGGTTCCTGTCATCCTCATGGGTGTTCTGGACCAGGACGTGTCTGACGCCGTCTCCTTGGCCGTACCGCAGCTGTACCAGCGCGGCATCGAGCGGCTGGAGTGGACACGCACCAAGTTTTGGTAAGCTTTTCTATCCTGCCCCTGTTTTCTTGGTGAACGATTGCTAACGATATCTCTCCAGGTTGTACATGGCGGATGGCATCTACCAGGGCATCATGTCGTTCTTCATCCCATACCTCGTCCTCATCGGCTCGCCGTTCGTCACGCACAATGGCCTGGACGTATCGGACCGCCTTCGTCTCGGAGCATACGTCGCCCACCCTGCTGTCATCACCATCAACCTGTACATCCTCCTCAACACCTACCAATGGGACCGCGTCATGTTGTCGGCCGTCGCTATCAGCAACCTGTTCATCTTCTTCTGGACCGGCGTGTTTACTATGGATACTTACTCGGGCCAATTCTACAAGTCGGCGCCCCAGCTCTATGCCCAGCCAAGCTTCTGGGCCGTCTTCATCATCACGCCCGTCATGTGCGTCTTCCCCAGGTTCGCCATCAAGGCGCTCCAGAAGGTCTACTGGCCTTACGACGTCGATATCATCCGCGAACAGGTCCAGCTGGGCAAGTTCTGTGAGGTCGACCCCGCCGCAGGCCAGCCGTTACTGCCCGGCCGCACTACGGTGGGCTCTTCACCCTCCCTTGCCAAGGGCCAGCCTGGCCCGTTCTCAGGCACCGATGACGACCAGAGGCCCATCTACCCGCCTTCGGTGGCCACGCACACCAGAACCCAGACCGGTAGCGACGGGACGAACTACACGGGCCACCGCATGTCAATGGAGCAGGTGCCCATGGAGCAGGCACCGATGGAGACTGTCGAATCACCGGTGGATCGGGCGCCCACAAGGCCCTCGATGGACCGGGCACGGCCATCTTACGACAGGATACGCGCGTCTATGGACCGGGTGCGGCCTAGTTACGAGGCCAGCAACGACTTCACTTCGGCCGCCCGACTCTCTAGGGTGGAGTCGACTCGGTCGAGGATCGGAGGCCCGCCGCCGAGCACTAGCAACATGTGGTCGGGGCGTCTCCGAGGACTGTCCATGATCTCGGCTAAAAGTAGGATAGGACCGGACGCGAAATCTGGGACGCCATGAGCCAAGACGGACAACGTTGGCCCCGCACATTTCACTTCTTGTGTATTTATATGCTGCACACATCGTCACCCCACTGCGTGGTCACCTCTCCTCCTTGTTCATTGATATCCATACCAATCTGTCATGCATTGACGAATCTGCATGAGCGACATCTACGAGTTCTTCCTTTTTTTTTTTTTTTTCTCAACTTGGCCCCCTTGCCTCCCTATGATGGGAGACCAGCCATTCGGCATTGGCTTTTGGCCCAACGACCACTCAAGACGGTCCTGCCCCGTCAAAGCCTTCGCCGCTCTATTCTTGCCGAGGTGGTACACACCTCTGCAGTCCTAATTTCCCTCACCTTTCTCCAAGCAAACCTCTTTTTTTTATATATATATATACCGGAGCCGGGCGTTCAGAGGGCATCATTCGAAATCGGAACTGTCGAGTGTGGGGAAGCATTTGTTTTTCTTTATTGGTTTTTTATTTCCATGTCTTGTTCTTTTGGAGACTACCCATTATTAGTGTACGAGTTGAAAAACCCAACTTTGCCACACATTGCAGGAGAGGAAGTCCGTGACAGATGTTTCCGTGTCTTCCCTCTCCCATCCACCATCCCTTGACCATTGGCTTCTCGCTTCCCCCTTTCCCTTTCCTTGGCACTCCTTCGCAGTAGTTTCCTCTTTCTCTCCTGTCTCTTATTTTGTCTAGAAGGTATCCTGTCCTCCTTCCGTGCGAGCTACCCCAGGCGTCCTTGTCTGCCCTGGCTTATCCTGTTGTCTTCTTTTAGAGGCCTACGCAGTGGCTTCTGGCCTGGTACATAGTACAGAAAGCAAAACCATTATTGCCACACTTGAGGACTCCTCTTGCGGATGTCGCTTGTCTCTCCCTCGGCAGGCGGAGTGAATGTGTCCAGCGCCTGCTTAGCGGCGTTTGACAAATGTGAAGGCTGTAATACTTGAATTAGATTCGATCAAACAGAGCATCCGCGGTGGCACCAGACTGGGGAGCCATCCCTCACCGTCCCCCCTTGAGGGCCAGTTGTCATCGGCGCCGGTCCAATCAAAGTCAACAACCAGTGCAGGCACGGATCGTCAGGGGTTGGTTGCGCTGGCTCTGGTCAATCATTGGTCGCATGTGGGAAGTGTGGGGAACCGCGCTGGACCCGTCCCGTTGGAGAAGCACTGGAGCTCCAGCACGACATTTTTTTGGGAGCCCCAAAGGGAGAGCCGGTGAAGCTCCTCAGGCTGAAGGTCCTTCTGAGCCTGCCGCATCCCGAGAGAAACTCTCCCAGCCGCCTGTCCTTCAAGGTGCCTTGGGTGGCCAGCAGGCGCTGCAATGTCTGCGATTGAGACTTTCCAGAGCTGGGCTCGCCAGGCCCAGGCTCTGCTTGCTGAGCAGCAAAAGAAGCACCCGCTGTAAGTGTGCCTGGCCAAAGGAGGCAGAGGTCGAGGCTGCGGCTGCTGCCCTGTGAACGAACCTCAACTGACCGCGACACCCATAGGCCGCCCGATGCGTACAAAAACCCATATGTCATCGCCATCGCTGTCGCAGTCCTTGGCGGGCTCGCGCTCGTGTACACGCTGTCGGTCGAGAACGACCAGCCGAAGCGGTACACCGTCCCTCCGGCTAAGATGCCCGACAAGGAGGAGATACTAGACCACCCTAGTCTGAAGGTGCGGCCAAGCCGTCCACGTCCTAACCCCCCGTCGGCTTGGAGCAGAACATGTGTGCTGACAAGGCATCTCGCTCGCCTCACAGGTGCAAGGATCCTCGGCCATCCAGTGCTACGCGCCCGCGACGGGCCAGTCGCTCGGCTTCATCAACCCCTCGACCCCGGCGGCCGTCGACCGGGCCATCCAGCAGGCGGCGGCAGCGCAGAAGACGTGGGCGCAGACCAGCTTCCGGGAGCGGCGGCGGGTGCTGCGGTCGATGCTGCAGCACATACTCGACAACCAGGCTGAGATCTGCCGGGTGGCGTGCCTGGACTCGGGCAAGACCATGGTGGACGCGCAGCTGGGCGAGATCCTGGTGACGGTCGAACGGCTGCAGTGGACGCTGGCGCACGGAGAGGCGGCGCTGCGGCCCACGCGGCGACCGACCAACCTGCTGATGATGTACAAGCGCAACAGCGTACACTACGAGCCCCTGGGCGTCATCGCGGCGCTCGTGTCGTGGAACTACCCGTTCCACAACCTGCTGGGGCCCATCATCTCGGCCATCTTTGCCGGCAACGGCATCCTGACAAAGGTGTCGGAGAACACGGCCTGGAGCTCGGCCTACTTCACCAGCATCGCGCGCGGCGCCCTCGCGGCCCACGGCCACGACCCGGCCCTGATCCAGACGGTGGCGTGCTGGCCCCAGGTGGCCGAGTGCATCACGTCGCACCCGGGCATCTCGCACATCACCTTCATCGGCTCCCAGGCCGTGGCCCACAAGGTGGCCGCCTCGGCCGCCAAGGCCCTGACCCCCGTCTGCGCCGAGCTCGGCGGCAAGGACGCCTGCGTGGTGCTGGACTCGGCCCGCGGCGACCTGACGCGCATCGTCGAGGTGCTCCTGCGCGGGACCTTCCAGTCGGCCGGCCAGAACTGCATCGGCATCGAGCGCATCATCGCCACCCCGCGAGTCTACGACACCCTCGTCGAGACGCTGACGCCGCGCGTGCGCGCCCTGCGTCTGGGCCCAGGCCCCACCGATGCCGACATGGGCGCCATGGTCTCGGACGCGGCCTTTGACCGCCTCGAGGCCCTGGTCACCGACGCCGTCAAGAGCGGCGCCCGCCTGCTCGCCGGCGGCCGCCGCCACGTCCACCCGGCCCACCCCAGGGGCCACTACTTCTCGCCGACGCTCGTGGCCGACGTCACGCCCGACATGGCCCTGGCGCGCGAGGAGTGCTTCGGCCCCATCATGGTGCTGATGCGCTGCCCCGAGAACACGCCCCGCGCCGTGCTGTCAATCGCCAACGCGCCCGACTTTGGCCTCGGCGGCTCCGTCTTTGGCGGCGACCGCGACCCAGTGCTGCGCGGGGTGGTGCGGGGCATGCGCACCGGCATGGTGGCCGTTAACGACTTCGCCGCCTACTACGCCGTCCAGCTACCCTTTGGCGGCGTCGGCGGCTCCGGCTACGGCCGCTTCGCGGGCGAGGAGGGGCTCCGGGCCATCTCCAACGCCAAGTCCATCTGCGAGGACCGCTGGGGCTGGCTCCGCGTGCGCACCCCGATCCCGCCGCCAATCCAGTACCCGATCCGCGACCAGGACCGGTCCTGGCGCTTCGCCAGGGGCGTCGTCGAGGTCGGCTACGGCCTCACGCTCGGCAGGAAGCTGGGCGGGCTGTTGGGCATTGCCAAGAATAGCTGAGGATAGGGGGGAAGGGAAGGGAAGGGGAGGTGGAATTGGGGGAGGGATGAGAAGAGGTGTGTATATGCTGCGAGGTGTGATATGGTCTCGGTTTGCTCCGTATATATATACCGAGTTTCCTTGTCAGCCAGGTCAAATACCTCGATCTGCTCACCTGTGCTGTTCCCTCTGCCAAACCCCGAGAAGCCGAAAGAACCAAGGGCCGTGCATAATCACCAGTCAGACAATGAGGAGGGCATATCGTATATAATATTTAATCTATCTGGATATGCACTGATACGCCAGTGTGACGTGACACCTTGTCTTCCTTCCTGCCTCCCTACACTCTGAGGGCCAAACCACAAGCTAGCTCCCTCAACCACTAGCAGCCCGGCGCCAAAGTCAACCCGGGCCGGGACAAACTGACTGTATGCTGCGTAGAAATTCTTCTTATGGGCCTTGGTTTCAGAAGATATGTACCTCTCCCCTCATGCACCTCCTCCCTTCGCTGTTGGTAGAACTTTCTTCCCTCCACATCGGTCGTGAATCAATCTCTTGGTCCTGGTATGTATTTAGGCCTGGCTGGCTACTTTTGTCCGTCCACCACGGAAGTCGTCAATGGTTGTGGCTGCATCATGAACCGACCCGGTGGCGCTATTGGTATCTTTCAAACTTTCCCCTTCGCTAGGCTCGCTCTGCCGCAAACCGCCACCCCAAACCAGGGGCCGGTCAGTGTTTCAAGACAACCCGGATATCCGAGTGTTTCCTCGCGCCAAGCTCGTTGCACGCGTCTACCAATCGTCGTCGTCGTCCTCGTCGTCTGTTTGAGCATGAAATGTATTGTCAGTATTGTAAAGGTTGTCACGATATCCAAAGGCAACGGGAAACAAGACACTCACCACTCCTGCTGACTTTCTCCTTGCGCTTCTGCAGCGCGGCGGCCAGCGCGTCGGCCATGCCACCGGCGCCGGCACCGGCCATGGCGGCGCCGGCGGGGGGCATGCCGCTGCCGTGCGGGCCGTTGTCGGAGCTCCCTCCGACCTGGACGCTGCTCCGGTCGCGGATCTCGGTCCTGTCAACCTTCTTGAGCGACCCGATGCCGCCGGCCTTCTGGATGCCCGCGAGCAGGCCCGCCCGCGAGGGGTCGCCGCCCGCGGCAGGGAGCGCCGGGGCGCCCGAGGAGTATCCAGAGTCGCGGCTGGGCGCAGGCGGCGGGCCCGGAGGCGGCGGGGGTGGGACGCCTCCCAGCCCTCCTGGAGGAGGCGGCGGCGGGGCGGGCGGCGGCGGGGCGCCACCCAGACCGCCAGGTGGCGGCGGAGGAGGTGGAGGCGGCGGCGGAGCAGCGCCACCGGGCGCCGGGGGCATTCCTGGTGGTGGAGGGGGCGGCGCGGGTGGCGCCTTGGAGGATGGCAATGGTGGCGCCTGCGGCGGCGATGCCGGGGTCCTGGAGGAAAGCACAGGAGGCGGAGCAGGAGGTGGAGGCACGGGGCGCGAGCTCGGTGGAGGCAGGGGAGGCGCCGTGGGCGGAGCAGGACCCTTGGACGGCGGCGGCGGAGGAAGGGGCGGGGCGGGAGGCGGCGGCACGGGGTGTGTCTGGTAGCTCACCGGTTCGCGCGACGGGGGCGGAGGGGGGACGGGACCTCGGCTCGGGGGCGCGGGCGGCGGAGGAACGCTCCTGTTGAAGGGCGGAGGAACACCGAACCTGTGCGAGCTCGGCGAGCCGTCGGCCTCGTCCATCGGGGTCTTTGGAGGGCGCGGCGGGGGCGCAGGGCCTGGGGCGGCGGGGACGGGCCGTTGGTGGGAAGGAGGGTCCATCCTGGCATACTTCCCAGCGTCGGGAAGCGGCGGAGGAGCAGCAAACCTCGGCCGGGGAGGCGACGGTGGCGAGGCTTCCCTGGGTGAAGGAGACTCCCGATGTACTGTTGGCGAGTCTAGCTTGGCAGCCGACCGCCTCGGTGCGGGCGGAGCTGGGGCGGCGCCGCGTCGTGGCGGAGGAGGTGCGGGTGGCGCATGGGGCGAGTGCGACGTAGACAGGGGCGGAGGAGGTGGTGGAGGAGGAGCCCTCACGCTGGGTGCTCTGTCACGCGACGGTGCCGGGGCGGCTGGTGGCGGCGGAGGCGGCGCCTGTCGGGCATGCTGGTGGCTTGCTTGCTGCTCCTGTTTAAGGAACTCGACAATGAAGTCCTGGTTCGCCACGATGAACTCGTCGTTGAGCCCCTTCTCCTTGAGGTCGTCGCCAAAGTGCTCCCGCCACTGCGGGTCGAAGGCGTCGAGGATGGCGAACTCGGACTGGGGAGCGTCGTGGATAACGGTGCCGTTGAGGCTGCCTGACGACGTCCTCGCGTGGTTGGTGGGAGGCGGGGGCATGCTGTTGCGCGGGGACTCGGGGGGCGACAACGACGTAGAGTGGTGGTGGCGGTGGCCGCCGAAGATGCCGCCCAGGATGCCATGGTGCTTGTGGCCCGCGTTGCTCGGGGGAACGCCGTCGAAGGGCTTTGCCCTGGTCTTCTTGTCGGCGTTCCTTTCGCGCTCGTCAACCTTCTTCTTGAACTGTTTCGCCTCTTTCTCGTCGGCGAAGCTGAGTCCGGCCAGGCAGTCTTCGAGCTCGAAGGTGTGGAAGAAGACGCGATCCTGGTTGTAGGTCCATGTGTCGTAGATTTCCTGGTCCCATATGACGAGGCCGTTACCGCCGGACTGGTATGAGGTCAGTAACCATGAGGTTAGTAACCTCGGCTCGACAGACTCTTGGTTGTGCCCAAAAGCGTTCAAGTCAAGGGAAGAAAAGGGACGTACCGAGATGTCCACCAGCTTCAGCCAATATGTGCAGCCGACGAGGTCGTTGGCCAGCACGACGGCGCCCTGCAGGCCGGTGTAGGTCCACTGTGAGCGGTTGGGATATGCGACGTAGAGGCGGGCGACGGCGACGGCCTGGATCTTGTTTGACTTTCGGGGCACGGCGCGCTTGACCGCCTCCTTGTCGGCGTCAGAAAGGATCGACGGCATCCTGGGGGCGAGGACGGCGGCGAGTGGTGGTGGTGGTGGTGGTGGTGGCGGGGAGGGCCGGACAGGAGACGCAGAATGGATGCGATCCTCGTCTCCAGTCGCCCGAGTCTCGTTCCTCTTTCTCTCGTGCTCGCTCAGCTCAGCGGGGGGTCATTGGCAGCGAAAGAGTCCTTTGTCTGGCATCAGTCGGGCAGGGTAGATGTGGGTGCAGCAGCAGTAGCGCCGTCGTTCGCTTCTTTTGGTGGGCGTTGGGTTGGCGCTTATTTCCCGCGACCCAGTCCAAGTCCGAGTCTGAGTCTGAGGCTGCCTCAGTCCCAGCCCTGGAGGCCAGCTCTCGCTTGGGCGGGAGCCTGTGCGCAGTGCTGGGCTCACTGCAGGGTATAAATACGATGTATCAATAAACCAGGGCTGATCAATCCAGGCAACGGGATTGAATCAACAGCACCAAATCCAGGTAGCAGACAGCTGGAGGCTTCAGCTTTGCACCGTTACGTATGCGCAAGGCTCTGCTGAGGTCGACGATGAACGGATGCTGTTTCAAGAGCGGGACAGGTTCAATCAATCAATCGAATCATCCCAGCAGCCCTCTCTCGGCTTTTTCGCCTGTTGAATCATTGCCGTCGTCAGCACCAATGCCAGTAATGCCGTAATGACCCCACACACTGTCTTTTGGCACTGTTTGGCACATTTGGCAGCGGCAGCCACAGCCACAAATGAAGAAGCACTGTGCTGTGTCGGTCCTACACAGCAGCCCAGCCTAGTTCATGCGACACACCGTTACGGCATCGTGGGAATTACGCAGTAGATTATGATGCTATCTCTTCAAGCTTAGGTTGTCAAGTTCAGGAAGACCTCAAGTCTCCTTGTTCAGCTCCTGGGCCTTGGCCCGCCTCTCCTCCTTGGTGCCCTCCTCGGGAGCATCAAAGTTCTTGGGCTGCGCAGGGCCGGGGTGGGCGTTGTGGGGCTGGAAAGCCGACTTGACTTTGTCGGACAGGGCCGAGGAGCCCTTGTTGTTGCTCTGTGGACGATAACATGGCGGGTTGTTAGTATCCGCTATACTGTCCAAGGGAGTCGCTGTACTTGCCTTGTCCGCGTCGGGCACGGGCAGGATCTTGGCCTCTTGCTTGCTGGGGTCCATTTTGGGGGTTGGTACGATGTAAGAGTCGACGAGGACGATGTTTTATTGAGGATCTCTTGCTCTGTGGGCTAGGGTAGTGGCGTGATGGTGGCAGTGGGCTGTGGGTGGAGGATGAAGAATGGAGTGGAAGTGGAAGCGATTGTTGGACGCCGAGCTTCTGCAGAACGTGGTTTAAATACACTCCTCTCGCACCGAAACTTGCTCCTAAACAAACACCATCATGTGCTCTCGGTCTCGTCCGCGCAACTGCCTTCCACAATGGAAGGAATGACTGGAGGCATCCAATCCGTCTACGGATGCTGTCACACGTTTGATGACGTCGTCCTTTGGCGCTGTGAATTGTAAACACGCCCCTTGTAGGGACGCCCCTGGTCCATTTGAGAGGTGCCTAGGTGGGCTGAGTGGGGTCGGTTTAGTTGGGGCCTATCACAGGCTGCATTCAGGCTCTCTCCCAGGCTTCGACTGCACTGTTTCGCCGCCAGCGGTATCAAATGCGACGCGCGCCGACTGACGTACATGCGACTGACGTGCTTATGCCTTCCAGTATTATTTATGGAGCGCGGGAGGCTCGGGCTCTGGCCTCTGCATGTTGTACCGGCTGGTTGGGCTGCTGCTGGTGGGCGAGTTGGGCCAGTCTTGGGCCAGAGCGCACGGACCAGTGCTCGGAGGTACGAGATGGAATGAGTGAGGCGCTTGAAATGCACACCGGTAATGCATCATGATCACATACACTCACCTACCTACCTACCTAGGTACCATCATGAGCCGCCGTTGGCCACAAGGCTGATAGACACGCTGACGGCTGCCGTCGCCAACCAGGACGACGGCCGTCTCGTACCTCAATGTCGGCCAGAAGGGGCCCCTCGCAGGCCCCGGCAGCGGCCCAGCCAACACCCCCCGCACAACAGCCCGTGAAGCTCTCGCTGCCGCTGGCGTACCAGCAGGACCTCTTCACGGAGTTGCGCGCAGAGGATGAGCTCGTCGTCATATCCAAGGGCCTCGGCCTGATGCGCCTGGTCACGAACCTGCTGCACTCATACGATGCCGCCGGAAACAACCTGGTCGTCATCGTCGGTGCCGACGACCGCGAGATCGGTTGGATAGGCGAGGCCCTGGCCGAGCATGCCGCCATCAGCGCGAGCCCCCTGGCCCGCGGGCTCACCGTGGTCAACACCGACTTTACAAACGTTGGCCAGCGCGAGCGCATATACGCCCAAGGCGGCATCTTCAGCGTCACGTCGCGCATCCTCATCGTCGACCTGCTCACCGGCCTGCTCGACCCCGTGTCCATAACAGGGTTAGTACTGCTGCACGCCGACCGCGCCGTCGCCACCTCGCTCGAGGCCTTCATCCTGCGCATCTACCGCCAAAAGAACAAGGTCGGCTTCCTCAAGGCCTTTTCCGACAGCCCGGAGCCATTCACCTACGGCTTCTCGCCCCTGACCACCATGATGCGCAACATGTTCCTCCGCAAGGCCTCACTCTGGCCGCGTTTCCACATGTCGGTTGCCCACTCACTCGAGGGCAAGAAGACGGCCGAGGTGATCGAGCTCGAGGTGCCCATGACAGATTCCATGTCCCAGATCCAGGCCGCCATCATGGAGTGCGTCGAGGTCAGCATCCATGAGCTGAAAAAGGGTAACTCGGGCCTGCTCGACATGGAGGACTGGACCCTCGACAGCGCCCTCACTAAGAATTTCGACGCCGTCGTCCGCCGCCAACTCGAGCCCAGCTGGCACCGCCTCAGCTGGAAGACCAAGCAGATTGTCGGCGACCTTAGCGTTCTTCGGGGGTTACTCCACTCCATAGTCTCGCTTGACGCCGTGTCCTTCCTGCAGCAACTCGACACCATCCTTGCTGCTCACAAGCCCCCTCCTGGGTCCAACCGCCAGACCCAACCTCCCTGGCTGTTCCTCGACGCCGCCCAGACTATCTTTGAGCTGGGCAAGAAACGCGTCTACGCTGCTGTTGGCACAGCGGCGGCAAGGACCGCAGCGGCTCTGGGGGACGCCGAAAACCAGCCATCCGTCCCGGCACCCTCCCTGGATGCGCTTCGGCCCGTGTTGGAGGAGCAGCCCAAGTGGGCGGTGCTCGCCGACGTCCTAGCCGAGATCGACCGCGACCTGCACTTCGACCCGTCATTCACCTCGGGCGGCGGCGGTGGCGACTCTAACGGCACTATTCTGATAATGTGCTCAGATACCAACACGTGCCGACAGCTGCGTGACTTCCTCCAGACGATGCACGTGCGGCCGCGTAGTGAGCGCCGCGTGGATCGTGCCGCTATTATTGAGGGCGATGAGGACGAAGAGCCGTCGGCCAGCTTTATGATGCGACGCAAACTGCGCAGCTACCTCAAATGGAAACGCGAATTCGCACAAGTCAACGCCACGCTCTTTGCTGAGAACCAAAGGGCGCTGGCCAACGCAACAGACATGACCAAGAGGGCTGGCTCCGGATCGGGTGGTATGGGAGGGATAGGGGGCGGGCATGGAAGGGCGCCGCCGAACAAGCGCCGGCGCGTGCGTGGCGGCGGCGTTACAGGCACCTCAGGCGGCAGGGCCGAGAACGGGAGCATCAACCAGTACTTTGAGAAGCCCGGCGAGGTCGCCGGGCTTATGGCGGAGACGGAGGCCAAGGGCGAGGAGGAGGAGCAGGCGCAGCAGAAGGCCGACGTGACGGCCATAGCGGACCCGCTAGAGGACATGGACGACTACTACGAGCTCTTTGACATGCGCGACCTGGTCGCCGTGCACGCCTACGATGGCGATCAGGACGAGCATGTGCTCGAGGAGGTGCGCCCGCGATGGGTCGTCATGTATGAGCCCGATGCCGCCTTCATCCGGCGCGTCGAGGTGTACCGGTCCTCGCACAACGACCGCAACGTGCGCGTCTACTTTTTGTACTACGGCGGCTCCGTCGAGGAGCAGCACTATCTGGCCTCGATCCGACGCGAGAAGGACGCCTTCACGCGCCTCATCAAGGAGCGCGCAAACATGAGCGTCGTCGTCGGCGGCGCCGTCGACCCCCACGCCGCCACCACTGACGACCCGCAGGAGGCCTTCCTGCGCACCGTCAACACGCGCATCGCCGGCGGCGGTCGCCTCGGCGCCTCGGCGACGGCGGAGCCGCCGCGCGTGGTCGTCGACGTGCGCGAGTTCCGCTCCTCGCTCCCCTCGCTCGTCCACGGGCGGTCCATGGTCATTGTGCCCTGCATGCTGACGGTGGGCGACTACATCCTGTCGCCCAACATTTGCGTCGAACGCAAGTCCATCTCGGACCTCATCTCGTCCCTCAAGGACGGCCGCCTCTATACGCAGTGCGAGGCCATGTTCCAGCACTACAAGAACCCGATGCTGCTCATCGAGTTCGACCACGGCAAGTCCTTCACGCTCGAGCCCTTTGCCGACCTGTCGGGCAGCCTCAGCAGCGTGCGCGCCGCGTCGGCCTCGCACCAGCCGCCCGACCTGCAGGCCAAGCTCGTGCTCGTGACGCTCGCCTTCCCCAAGCTGCGCCTCATCTGGTCCTCGTCGCCCTACGAGACGGCCGAGATCTTTGAGCGCCTCAAGGCCCAGGAGGCCGAGCCCGACCCCGTCGCCGCCGTCCGCGCCGGGCTCGACGGCGGCCAGGCCGCCGACGACCAGCCCTTCAACCAGGAGCCGCACGACATGCTGTCCATCGTGCCGGGCGTCACGCCCAAGAACGTCCGGGCCGTCACGGCCCACGTCGAGAACCTGCGCGAGCTGGCAAACTTGCCGCCCGAGGAGCTCGCGCCCGTCGTGGGCAGGGAGGCGGCTAGGCAGATGCACGGGTTTTTTGTCAAGGATGTCATTGAGGATGGGTAGCAGGTGATTTTGTCTGTTGAGAGGTAGCAAATAAATATTTGTCGCAAACACTTGTAGCAGCAAAGTCGACAAATAATTTGAAGCAAATCAGAAAAGAGCCAAGGAAGTAAATAAACAGGACATCCATCTGAACACCGCTGGCAGTGGCGCTCAGCATAGCACCCTAAAGTGTCGCTTTTTCTATAACCTCGGCCGTTGCTGTTGAGAGATCTTCGTCGAGGTACCAGCCTCGGATGACGCGCTGGTCCACCTCCCACCGTTTCCGTCATAGTCGATCCAGCTGCTGTAGCTGAGGCTGGGGGACGGGGCCTCGGAGCACGCATTCAGCGCCGTCGCAGTTGAGGCCATGTCAGGGGCCCTCATGTCGACAGACAGCCGCCAATCTCCCGGCACAGGGCTCACGGATACGGAACCGGAGATAAAAGTAGGGGAGCCAAGCATCCATGGCGTGTTCCGTGTTCCCGATGTCTGGGCCGGCACCTCAACGGGTGGAGAGGGGCTCACAGGGATGATCGGGTAGCCTGCTGGCATGGGGCTGGAGCTCGTACTGGCGGGTGCACCTGTTTTCCTCTGCACGGTAGGTGTCGGAGTTGACCCCGCATCACTATGCAATAAAACCAGGCGAGCCGGCCAGAAAGGGTGGGGGCAAGGAGCTGTGTCGGGCAAAGAGTGTTGCAACAAGCTGACGTCGTAATGCGGCAACACTGCAGCCGGCGATTGCCAAGGGCGCCTGGGTATAGTCCGGAGGCCTTGGGCACGTTTCGCACCGGCTTCTTCGAGAAGGCGCCTCACAGGCTCGTTCTGGAAGTGCATGTCGAGAGGTGTTCTGCCGGTGCCGGATAAGGGGTTTATCTCGGCATTGGCCTCGAGGAGGATTTTGACAATCTCTGGACCACGCGCGAAATGCTGTTGATCGGTCAGTCTTGCGAAACGAAAGTCGCAATGGCAAAGAATTTCATCCATCTCTCCGCAGAGGAAGCACCAGAACCCAATACAGAGAAGCTTACCAAAGGTGCCCAGCGGAAAGGAGTCCTGTAGGACGGGTCCGCTCCCCTCCTAATCAGCGTCTGGACCGACTCGACGTGGCCGCCAGCTGCGGCCTGGTACATGGCATTCATGTCGGTAACTGGATTGGTGACGTTCACACGCGCCCCGGCCTGAATGAGCAGCCTAGAAACCTCCTCGTGGCTCGAGTCGTAGCATATAGCAGTCCATGGTGTGAAGCCGGCTCGGTCATACTTGTTGGCGTCGTGATCTCGTCCCAAAAGGACCTCAACGAGCGCCGGATGGTTTTTGACGCTGGCGATGTGCAGACAGGTCTGGCCAGCGTTGTTTTTCGGCTCACTACCTTTGAATGCCCCATCCAGCAGGAGCTCGACCATCCCGGTCGCACCCTTCTTGGCGGCCAGGAAGAGGGCTGCCAGGTAGACGTCCCTGTGTGTGGACTTGTTGGATTCGGCCATCAGGCCCGTGAGCGAGTTTTGGTCCTGCTGGTGCGTAGCCAAAAGGATCTTGTAGCTTGTCGCGAGGGGAGCCAGTTCCGCCGAAATCCCCTCGTCTTGGGCCGCACCGGTTGCCGAGAGGATGGCACGAGCGGTCGCCTGGTATATCTCCTGGAGTCTTTTCGCGGATGCGCTTCGGCCACTCGCACCCCAGACCGAGATGAATGCACCGCACTCCTGGAGTGTGTCGATAATAGCGACCAGCTCTCCCGAGTCTATCTCATTGCTATTGTCGCTAGGCGTGGCTGCCGCATCGGGCGTGGCTGCTGCACCAGGTGTTGCCATCGAAGGGGTGGATTCCGGGGTCTGGATGTGGTAGCCCTCAGGCGTTCCCGGGCTCGGGGCTGTACTGTCAGCATCAGCCTTCTGTCGGCTTCCGGACGCAAACATACATCTTCCTGCCTTGATTTGTGCCTTCCGTAGAAAGGTAACATAGCGAGCTATCTCCTTCTTGATAGTCGCCTGCGGTTTTCGTTTGCCGTCAACGTACAAGGCGCTATCGCGGCCATCGAGCCGTCTCCTCCGCAATTTCCGGTAAACCCACTCCCAGTTCCTGCCCGGCTTGTTCTTGCTAAATCCCCACTGCTTGAAGATACGCTCGTAGGTGGTCCGCCTTGTGTCTCGGTCAGCGTTCTTCTACTCTGTATAGTTAGGGCATCATAAACCTACCCTGCGGTGACCCCATGGTCAGTCTTCATCTTCAACATAACTTTATCCATCTTCAAGTCCTGCTCAATGTAGAGCGTCTTGAGGAGAGACTGGTGAGGTCTGAGTTGGTCCATTGCGGTATTCGACAAGTCCAGGGGGCGAGAAGGAAAAAGAGGAGGCAGGGTCTGATCTGATTTTGGAACTGAACAAGTGTTTGAGAAGGATGGATGTCTTTAAAGGTAGGCAGACAAGCCTAGGTGTTGGGAAAATGCAGGCATCTTATAGACGTATTTGGGACCCTCAGGGGTTGCAAACCCAGGCAGCTCTTGCATGTTTCCGTGGACCTCTCAGCCTCTGTGGCGTCTATTACTGGCGTTGATTGGACGATGCCATTTCCCTCAACGCTAGGGGTAAAGCTAAACTTCTTCAAAGACCTCCCGCTCTGCGGTGGTGTGGACAACGTCACGCCTTACATGGCCCGCCCGGCAGATTGGGCGTTTTTATTGGGGGACACCAAAACCGTCTCGCTGCCGCCGCCCCCACGATTGCCTGGTCTTCATCCTACCACCAATTCCTCTTACACCTTACTTCTTTATCGAGAAACGCTTCCCTCCCTTTTTTTTCGGGTTTTGTTGCTCCCATCCACCTTTGGCCCTCCACGCAACTACAACAGATTTTCCTTCGCTCGAGTTCACTTTATATATTATCGCTTTTCACCACGTCGGCCCTCTCATCCACTGTCTACTACATCTTCTCTTGATCATCGATCACCATGGAGGTCGCGGTTTTACCCCTCCTCGCCACATGCCTCCAACTTGTTGCCAGAATCTTCACCACCCTGGAGCAGGTTTACGACTTCTCCCAAGAGTTCAGGAACGTACCTGCAGCCATCCGAGACCTGGCTCTTGATGTCCAAGCTGCACAGCGATGCCTTGTAAGCATACAAAACAGAGTAGCGGGTACCGGTGTCGCCGGCAACGACGGTAGTCAAGGCAGTCGTGCGCTCGTGAACAACGTCCAGGGAGCGCTGTTCAGCCTGGAGACCGTCAGCACTTTCGCCGTCAAGCACGCCAGCAGCATCCAGTCCTACCGGTTCCTCCGCCGCCTGACCTACATGATACAACATGCGGAGATCATGAAGCACCGGGATGAGCTCAGGAATCGCTTGTTCTACCTACGGTTGCTCCAAGACAGCAGGTATGGAGTCTTGCCATGTACTCGGCCTTAATGGCATTTGAGAAAGCTGGGTTTTTACTTCGATGGTATCTCAGCTACTGACCGCGTGGATGTCCAGGGCCGAAGCATCGGGTTCTGGCGAGACCAGCAGTCGGCCCTCATCCGATCCAGGGCTCGCGCCTCCAGAAGGCGGTGTTATCAACAACAATATGCTCTTCGAGGGGCTCCCACTTCCCCAACGTCCAAGTCCGTCCAGGTACTCCCGCTGGAGTTACAGACGCGCTTCCCGCATGCTAGTCGAGGCAGCGGGGCGCGGGGACGTGGAAGAGGCCCGAAGACTCATCGCAGCCGGCGCCGACATCGATTATCAGTCGCGTGGCGCCGAGCCTAAGCTAGAGGGGAAGGCAGCACTGCACGCAGCCGCGGATATGGGCCACGGAGCTCTAGTCCGGCTCCTACTTCAAGAAAGCGCAAACCCCAATCTGCGCATCACGGGCCCGTCGAACGACACAGCGCTGCATCTGGCGGCTAACAAAGGCCACCTTGCGGTCATCCAGCAGCTTTTGGACACCAATGTCGTTGACGTTGATGCGAAGGACGCGCAGGGTTTTTCGCCGTTGCAGAGGTGCGAAGACCAAGCCGTCATGGCTGCGCTTCTGGGGGCTGGAGCGGACCCGAGGCGCAGGCTCGCCAACTCCAATGGCACGGTGCTGCATTGGGCGGCCAGCAGGCGCCAGGTCACACTTGTGCGACAGGTTCTGGCCCTGGACGGCACCACCGTTGACGAAGAAGACGCAGAGGGCCTGACACCGCTGCAGAGGTGCACCGACGAGGCTATCATGGTCGAGCTCCTAAACGCCGGGGCAGACCCGAAGCGCACCTGGCCCGGAACCAAGGATACTTTGCTGCACCTCGCGGCCGGCAAGGGCTACTTTGACGTTCTGGGGCTGCTTCTGAGCTCGGACCGTGTCGACCTCGACGCCGAGGACGCTCAGGGCCTGACACCGCTGCTGAGATCCAAGAGCGAGGCCGTCCTGACCGCGATCCTCAAGGCCGGCGCGGACCCGATGCGCCGGTGGCCGGGATCCGGCAATACGGTTCTGCACCACGCCGCAGACTCGGGCTGGACGCAGGCCGTCCGTCAGCTCGTGGCAATGAGGGCAGTTGATGTGCAGGCGACGAACGCGGGCGGGCTCATGCCGCTGAAGCTGGCAGTGCGCGCTCACGACATGGGAGTGTATGGTCCTCGCACGTTCGGGGATATCGTCGAGGCACTAGCCCAGGGTGGGACGTACACAGATGGCCGAGGAGAATAGCACGGGCCAGAGCTGCCACAGGTTATTGTGCCTGCGGCCATCCAGAGGGGGTAAGGGTTGGTTTAGGACGATATCCGCGAGGATTAGAAGCGTTGCGGAGTTGGGGTAGACCGGATTTTGCGGCGGCCTTCGCGGGCGTGGAAGTTCACTTGCTTGTCTTGGCGGTATTGGCGTTTCCTAGGTACCTAATTAGACTTCCTAATTTACCAATCAGCTTTTAAGTCCGCCGTGCTGTGATGTGGATGAGAGACACCGTGATGACTTGTACGATGCCTCTTGTCTCCTTTCTGTTCCTTGGCCATACGCCAATTCGCATGCGTAACACCAATTCAGGGGTACTGTGGAGGCAACCCCTGAATTGATGATGACACCGGCGTCGCGATATCGAAGGACAACTTCAATGTCTTCAGAGGCTGATTGTTTTCACACTTTTCCGGTCAGACTGTCGCTCTTCCCGTGTGTCTCTATTCAATTTAGAGAAGAGGCGGCGGCATGTTTTCCGGCCCAATTCTTGCGAGGTGAGTCGCTTCTCGACTTAGCACTCACATCGTCCCCGTGAAGCAATAGAGCTCCCCGGAATAGGTTTGGCGTATTCGATATCTTGTGAGCGCCCTTCTGTTACGGCCATGGCTAGGAAGGGCGGCTGCAGGCAGCCACCCCAGGCTGGGCAGCCTGAGCGAGAACCGCACCCGGAAAGGGCCGAGACGAGCTCCGGGTCGCGAAACCACGGCGCTGCTAGTCAACACCTCGGCGTGGTGGCTGGACGGACGGGGGTTACGGATCGTTAGTAGTCTTTCTTCTAATAGCACACATTCAGTGGAGTGGCGAAAAGTGCCGACTTACCCCTCTCACGGACGCTGTCGAGCGCTGTGAGCGACTTTACGACGCCCACCCTGTCACCCAAGGCGGCTGGGGGCCGTTTTACCAGCGATGGCGACAGGCTCTCCTTTGCCGTTAGGCGTGGTCTTGGTAAAATTCTTGTTTATGATATACACGTCCTAGGCCTTCCAGCCCAGGTTGTCGTTGCCCACGATGACCTCGACGTGGTGGCCGCCGAGGCTCTTCATGAGCGCGTCCGTCTTGCTGTGGTCGACGACGCCCGCCATGCTGTGCACCTTGGCGGGCGTGATGGCGTGCCGGCAGATGAGCATGGCACCGCCCGCGGGCTCGGGCGAGGGGCTCCCGCCGCCGCCGGCAGCCTTGCCGGCAGCTGGCTTAGCCGGTAACAGGGCCCGCTTCTCTAGGGCTCCGGCCGTGGCGTCGTCCAGGACAGCATTGTCGGCGACGAGCGACTCAAAGCTGTCGGCATCCCGTGCGGAGAGACCGGAGGAGCGCCCGGTGGGTAGGTCGAGACCAGGCCGGCGGCCAGGCTGGTAAGGATGGTGAGGACAGAGAGGAACTTCATGGTTGAGGATGAGAAAGAAAATGGAAAGAGAAATCGAGCTTGGGTATCAAAAGGAGACACAAAGGAAAATGTATGAGGAGAATGAGGAGGGAGGAAAACTGTTAGAAGAATCTGTGTGGTGATGGCTGATGTGGGAGACTGTTGTTGGATGCAGGACAGCAAGGAAGTTATCACACACCACAGTCGCTGCTCCCGTGCTCGTACCATCATAGTAAGGCTGTGTTCGCCGGTCATGTGTGTGCGTCCAAAGATAGGGCTGCAACAGCTAGTCGGCGGCTGACACTTGGGAATATGGCGTCATAAACCGCAGAGATTATCGGTGGCAGCCCCGGAGCCTCTGTCAACGCTCCAGTATTAAGTCTTCTTCTGAACAGAAGACCGGCCAGTGCCGTCCGGACAGCGGCGGCGCTGAGGATCTGCCCTGGCCAGCCCTACGGTTACTTCAGCTGTCTCGCGACCTGGGTCCCAAAGAGGAAATACCCCCAACCCATAGCCACAGCACGCGTGAGATTTTGCACAAGATCAGAAGTGTATAGCCGTGACAAGAATTTTGGCCAATAGCGTGTAGGGTCAAACGAGACGTTACACTCTTGGGTGCGTGGGAGCGCGGGGCTGCCCCATTCGAGCGCATTCAGCCGCAGCAGAGTTCAACGTTCATGCCGCCTTGCGGAAGTGCCTGGTTACTGCTTGACGCTGCGGCAATCCCTACCCTCTCAGCCACACGGCTAAGGCTAATGTGTAGGCACAGCAGGTCTCCCCGGCAGCCTGCTACACCACCCATCTACCTTCTCCCACCAGCTTATAAGAAGCTATTACCCCATGCTGATCAACTCGGCCAATTATCTAGACAGTCCATCCACATCCACCCGAATCATTCCGACCACCAGCCACCATGGACATCTACGACGACTGTATCACGCACTCGGACAGTTGGGGTGCGCATGGGCTCGATGACCAGAGACTCCAGCGGGTTGCCCAGGTGCAAGAATACCTGGAGCAGGGTCTGCTTACACCTGGTACGTTTCCGGCAGCAGCACCATCCAGACCGCACGCATGCCGTATCGTCTACTCTACCCTTTGCTGATAGACTCTTACGCAGACAAAATCTTGCAGCGCTTAACCGACGCGCTGGCCCCGACACTTACTGGGAACAGCATAATATCGGGCATTAGCCTGGGTGGCATCCGTAGACGATTCGAGGAATTGAAGGACCGTCAGACCGAGGGTAAGCTCCGCACAGAGATAGTTGAGAGATCACTTCCCCTGTTTCTTGACGTGGCGTACTGACAACAGATAAAAAAGGCGTCACAAAGCACAGCTTCATCGCAGGCCTCTCTCCCTCCTCTTCTTCAGCAGCAGCGACTCCTGCTCTCGGGGCCCTGTTCGACCTCGTGTACTGGCACGCCTCGTTCCCATTCAGCGCTGCTCGCACCACCGACGCCACCGTCGATGAGCCGGGTCTAGTACGCGCCGCCGCCCTCCTATCTCCCAGAGAGGCGGGCCCGCGATGGACGCTCGCCCGCCACGCCAGCTTCAACGTCCGCTCGGGCGCCTGGGGCCCATACGCGGAGGGCTGGGTCGTGACTGCTCGACACGCGGGGGCCGAGGACTGGCGCCGTCGCGTGTTCCGAGCCCTCGCTACCCCGACCACTACCGCCGCGGCGGCCGGCGAAACGACAACCACAACTACCATCCCGGTCCCTCGCTTCTTCATGTTCCGGGCCCGAAACGGCGGTGATGACGGCAGCGGTGACGAGAACGACGAAGGGCAGCAGGTCGCGGTCGTGCACGACGAGGACGAGCGAACCGTCGACCTCCTCGACGTCCTTGCCCTGACCACGCCCAACGACGTGCCAAAGAGCGGCCCGCCGCTCCGGGAGAGCTTCGACGGGTTAATGGGGGACCTGCTGGCCAACACGCAGCGACAGCAGCTGTCCGAGCTGGTGGTGCCCAAGAAGACTTTGGGAAGCCTCCTCTCTCTGCTTCTGGGCACTCCAGGGGCGGACTGGGAGACTGCGCCGCCCTCGGCAGACAGCCCACATGGTGCCCTGGTGCAGGAGCTCTTGTCACCTGGGGACGGGGAGGCGCTGGGATTCAGGCAGTTTGACGAGCTGGTGCAAGACAAATAAGGTGCTCAAGCTGGACTTCAGCTCAATACGCGGACACCCCCATCGACAAGCACGCAAGCAAGGTTTGGCTACAGCTCGGCATAGCCTACATATACATATTTCCCCTTTCTAGGCTTCTCGATGCCGGAGAGAGCAGCACTAAATCCCCAGTCTACGAGCTTGCCCGATCGCCCGGGCGCCCTGTTCCTGTAAATTGCAAGCAGCTCTGCCAGCCTGGCGTCCAGCTAGCAAGTAACTCAATTTGAGCGATATTTTTACGAAACAGAAGTGTAAGTCTACATCTCTAATCAGGCGGGAGTATGCGGTTGTGGCTCCTAATCGTCTTCTGTCAGATACCGCCAGCCATCTCGGGTGAGACCGCCATCAAGCTGCTTCCTGCTCCGCGGGCACTGACCCGTCTCTCTGGGAAAGCTCGTACTCTGGGAGCGCCTCAAGATCGCAGTCGAGATGGCCCCTGAGCAGGGCCATGGGATGCTCCTTGGCCCCCTCTTGCATCTGGGGGACGACCGCCTTCTTCTCCCAGGCGAAGGAACCGACTTTGAAGCGACCGCCGTCCCCGGGCTTGATGTGGAGGGTGTAAAACGTGATGTTAGAAAAGAAGCCGATGATGTGGATAGACATCGCGCCGGTCTCTTCAAACCCCGCGGCCAAAAAGAACCACTTTTCGTCCTAGTCCACGGGCCGGAAGCCGACCTAGAGCCGCTTGGGACCCGCATCGCTGATGTCAATTCCTCATGAGGCTCTTTCGGGCTCCATCATCTTGGGCATTATGTACCCTTCATCCACCAAATCCACGAATTCCGGTTCTCCCCTGTGCCGAGCTGTGTGATTAGCAAAAAGGGCAGACATATTTGCTATAAGCCCAGTCATGGGATCGCGGGTATGTACTTGGAGCCGGCATTATTGGGCATGGCATCCTCGGCTACAGCGTTTGTGGGCATGGCTTCCTATGTTGTGACTTTTCGCTATTTGATATGCTAGCCCCAGCTGTTTGCTAGCAGCCACATTGATTACCCAGATCATGTCCAGGCCAAAAAAAAAACCAAGAAATGGATACAGTCTGGCGGCCCTTCCGGGTAGTATCGAAGCTGTATAAGAGCAGATTCTGGCAGACGGTTGTAAGATAATGGGCGGGGCGTAACAAAACAGTTCGAGGTGTACCTATAAAGCCACTACCGGACTGCGCCGGTGCGCTTGGGGCGCGGTTGCGGGGTTCAAGCTCAAGCTAGGAGAGGCTAGAGATGTCGGGAGGAATTCACGATTAGAGAACTACATCTACGAGTGAACTCAATCGATATGCACAGCTGTCAGGCTCATGTGTACAACACAGGAGGTAACAATGAATGATTGTGGACGAAATTTGTATGCATGGCCGGTTGCTGTTGTTGTTTGTTGTTGCCTACTGAGGTTATGTAGGGTACGTAATAAGAGGGTATCTCTGCAAATCTCGCCATCCTGCTATCTCCACCGAGAAAAAGAAATGCATCGCATAAAAGAAAACACCAGCATTATCATCATAGAGTCGTCGCTTCCCTGCCATGCTTCCCTCCATGTTCTTTCTAGTGTGATGTGATCACCCATCTGCCAGGGCTCGGCCCCCCGGATGTTGTCAACAGGCCATGACGTGACATGACGTCCAACACGGGACTGTCAATCACGTCCCGTCATGTTGACAAACATCACCGTTTTTGCGGCAGATGGGTCAGTTTATACGCGTGTTGTTCTGTGCGTCGTGCGGCGCCGGGAACCTCCACGTCGGGCGTAGCCTATTGGTCGCATCGTTAGTATCTCTTTTTAACTTCCCCTTCAGGTGGGTGTGTACAAAGTAGGGCTGAGTTGGTGCTTACCGCAGGTGATGCAGCTGATCAGGACGTCAAAGATGCGCACGATGCCGCCGACGATGGCGTGGATCATGGAGCCAATGGCGTTAACGATGCCCGTCAGGCACGAGCCGATGCTGGATAGGACGGCGCCCATGGTTGCGGACGTAGCGTGGCGGTGGCGGTATTGGTAGGTTTCTTTTTTTTTTTAGATTGGTGTGTTGTGATCAGGGTTGGCTGGTGTTGTTTGTCTGGAGAATCAACAAACCAGACGGCACAAGAACCGTCGGGGACCTTTACTGTTAAATAGGTGGGTGTAATGCAGAGCAGATGAGCTGGTCGCCCTTGCCTGTTTGTCATTTGTACATGCTACTGCTATCAAAACCCGACTGGTCGATGTGGTCATACCCGATGCCCTCGGAGCTCAGCCCAGCCATCCATCCCCCATGTCGGCGTTTCGGGATCCATGCATCACGTCCGTACGACCAAATGACATGATGGGCGAATGAGCCCGCTCACAGACAACCATCCGGTCCCCTCCTCATCCAACGCCCCAAACAGGTGAGGTCATACTGCCCAGATCCGGCCTACCCTGGACCCCTTTTTTTGTTGGCTTTATTTCTCGCTTGTAGCGGTTGGGTCGCATTGCACGGCAGGGGCTGACTGTGGCTTGCTTGTTGGGTGTGGTTGATTTGTTTCGCTAGCTCACATTGACGTCATGGAAGCTGTCCAAATCTCGATGGGCTGCCAAACGACGTCAAAGGAAGACCCCACCCCCCCCCCCNC